TTGTTTTTTTCTGGGAAGAAAATAATCCACTTCTCCTGGGTGGTGAAACACTGGAACAGGTTGCCCAGAGAGGTGATAGATGCCCTTCAAGAAGTACTTGAAGGAACAGTGTTGCCATGCTTCTCTAAACTTTTGGTGTTTAATGCTGCTATAATTTGGTCATTGGCATACTTACGACATTAAAGAGCACAAAATGCATTTTTAAGCTTGACATTCAATTGAACATATAACTTTCTTCATCGTACAGTAGGACTAAAATTGCTGTTTAGTTCAGTTGCAGAAGGAGAGCCAGTACAGGTCACAGCAATACTTCAGGAAAACAGTTCAAGTGTGCATAGACAGTATTCCTGTAACTTAACAAAAAATAACATGAAAATTTCAGGACCACATCTTTTTTGCAGCAGATTGCATTTTTCTTAGTAATAGTTATACTTAATATGTCAGATGTGCCTGGGCAAATACCCACCACCAAATACCGCTTACACAACCAGAATCAATATGATGAACATAACACATTTGTGTTGTTTTATTTTTATTCAGACTTCCAGACACCCTTGCTAGACTGGATCTAAAGGGAAATGACATAGAGGATGTTGGAGAACAAGAGCTGAAGGACTTGAAACAGCTTCAGGTTCTAAATTTACGGAACAACAAGATATCTGCCTTGGATCGCAAAGTCTTAGAGTATTTACCTCGTCTCCGTCATCTGTATTTAGACGGAAACCCTTGGAACTGCACCTGTGACCTCCTCAGAACCAGAAGAGTGCTGGTGGCCAAAGGAACGGATGTCAGGGGAGGACAGTGCGCGGCGCCGGCAGAAAGCCGAGGAGAAAGTTGGATGTCTTCCAAAAAGATTCTGCAGCAGTGTGAAGATAATCTGTCTTCCATGGAAAGGGGCAAAGAGGACAGAAAGAAAATGAAACCCAATGAGGCCTCCAGCGTTGGAGTAAACACCGATGATGACTACTATGATTATGAATTAGATTAACCCCATGGTTAATCTATGGTGAACCTTAAAGTCGTCCAGAGCTGCCCGCTACCACCAGCGCCTCTACTGACAACCAGCTGGTCTGCCATTAACTTTTCCTCTTTAGTTTGTACTATAAGACTTAATAGCTGGTGACAGAAAGGCTATAGGAACGATGCCACTGTAAACTGAAAATCATAAAAAAAATAGTTTTTCTATGCCATTAGTACTATGTAGTTAGAGGGAAGTAAGAATACAATTACTGTCTCCTAGAACAGCAGTCTGTAACTCTGTATGGACCTTTTTATAGTAGAGCATTCTTATAGTTGCATAAAACCCCCATAAATAAAATCCTGCAATACCACAAGGTGCTATTACTAGGAGTCTGGCATTCAACACATTTAAACTCACAGGTGTGTGGTTTGAGATGGAGAGTTACACCGGTGCAGGCAATTTCTCAGGATTCTTCAGAGATTCTTGCTTTTGAGAAATGAATTTCAGTTTTCCTGAAATATTTGCCTCTTTTGTTTCTTTTAGACTATTTTAAATGACATTAGACCTAAATTAGCTGAGCTCCAGGCAAAACACAGAAGGCTCATCTTCATCACAGCACATGGAACAAACAGAAGAATCGGTGTCCTGGTCGATGAGATTTAATACTAGTTCCAAAGTTAATTAATAGCAAGGAATAAAAACACTGCGATCAATTTGACCCGATTCTCTTGTTGTAAACAGAAGGCGGCAGATTCTCAGGAAATAGTCCTCTGCCTCTGGCAAATACTAGGGTAAGATCAAGTGAGACGAAGTTTTTGGAAGAGTTTATTTTGGTAGCTAAATAGCTGATTGACTACAATATAGCTCAAGAAGCTGCGTGTATATGTTTGGGTTAGGTGTACTTCACGTGGGAGTACACACTGCACGTGCCCCCTTTCACTGGCAGGAACCTTCCAGACTTTTGCACACAAAAATAGGACTTAATAGCATACGCACCAACTTTGATGTACGTACAAATTTTATCAAGCGGTTCCCAAAGTGCTTGAAAACTAAACAAAACTGGATTACCGAGACCGCTAAACCCAGTGACTTACAAACAGTAATCTGAGGGGTTTCCTGGCAGTTCATAAATCTCAACTGATAACTGAGGAGTAATAACACCGGCAAATTACTTTTCAAAGCAAACAGTTTCTATTATTCTTTACCTTCCATTGGCATTCAGTAACTGAGTAATCACTCACGTTCACAGAGGCTGTTTTGTCAGGTGTCGGAGTGCAGCTATTTGGCTCGGTCGCCTACGCAAATGCAATTGTCACTTGGGTTTCTTAGGCACCCAACGCATTAAGCTATACAACCGGAACAGAACGATACAAGTTTATTTTTCTTTACTTTTTATCTTTTTAACGTATCATCAGCCGCCCAAATTTTTGGTAGCTAAAGATTTAGATACCTATGGAACAGCGCAAGCCTTCCTGGCACCGTGACTGTGTTACTTTTGTTGGCTAATGTTGGTCTGCATTAGAAGTCCGGGAAGTAGTCATTTTCTGAGCAAGAAAAACATTTTCATGCTACGGTATTTTTCGTTCCGTTTTATATTGGCGGATGAGGACTTCAGATGCTTCCCGGTGCCACTTCAGCCCACCCGCCTGTCCGATGGCACGGGGCTGGCTCGCGAGCTCCCGCTCCGCCTTTTGCCCGCGGCGGGATTTGGGTCTTTGGCCGTTACGAGCCCAGACAGCGACGCCCCGGGAGCCGCAGGTTTTGCGGGCGCCCGGGGCGCAGGCACCCGCAGGGCCACGCTCGGCGGGTCGCTGGGGGCGGCGCTACCCCCGTTTCCCGTGCCCGAGCCCTATCTGCACCGTGCTGGGGGAGGAAAGACGCCGTTTAACGGCGCCGCCCGTGCGGCCCGGCCGCCCCGGAGACGCTCAGGTTTCCTCCCCACCCCCCTCTC